CTCATTCTCTTGCGCAGATGTGCTGCTTTGAGAAAGTACAAAAAATATATCTGAGGGAAGAGCCAAAATGCTTCTGAGGAAGAGAACAGTTATTATATTGCTCCTTTACCCCAGACAGCAGCTCAACTTCATTGTTAGAAACTTGCTTCATAGGTAGCATTACTACGAGTAGCTATGTTACTGGCTCCCATAGGAGGGCATCCCATGTTTTGCAGATTACGTTCTACCACAGTGTCCTCCTGGTGAAGCCTTATGGGTGCAGTGTGAGTTTATGGGAAAGCATAAGGAACTTTCCTGAGCAAGGTGGCCAGTCTTGTTCATGGTGTGCATATTTGCTTAAATGTATTTATATTCATTTTAGGTAAGAAGCCATGTTGAAAAGTTTGGAATAATCTATAACAGTAAAGTAGGATGTATATTTGTTTGTCTATTGACACCTTAAGTGCCAAGAGCACGAAACCTAGACACCTGAAACTTGGCATGCATACTAAATCAATCCTAGAGGTGTTTCGGTGTTTTGTTTTTAAAGCACATTCATTATTTTGAAGTAATGTAAATATTTTCATGTGTTTGAATTCTAACTTCTTCACTAGTAAGATCAGATGTTGTTCAGTAGCACACAGCTTTGCAGGCAGGGAAGATTAGTAGGCTGAAGTTGTATGTCTCCCCCGTCCCACTGCTGTGAGGCAGCCACCCTCGGAGGAATGGAATGGACAGTCCCTTTCCTCGGAGATTTATAGGCGTGCTCTGCAGCAGGTCCTCGCCGTGCACCCCCGTGCTGGCCTGCGCGCACCGCTAGTACCGCCTTTCTGGCCCGCGACCAGCACCAGCATCTTTCAACTGGCCCCCTGGTGGAAAAGTTTGAGCACCCCTGCTCTAAACTGTAAGATAATGCTACCAAATGGCAGATCTTCTGCTGTACACAGAGGCACTCAAGTTCCTGCAGAAGGAAGTTCCATGTCTGTGTGGTAGCTGCCAATGATGATGCTTGAAGCAGTCTTGTCATTTTGAATTAGCATGTGGCCCAACACCACTATTGACAAAGGACAACGCTGGGGATTACCTATGAGTACAGGGAAGGGGATGATCTGTACAAGACTGAGGCTGTTCACAAACCTAGCCATCAAAACCAGCACCATGAATTAAATTTAGGTTAGGGTTAGGGTGGCAGGTCTGGCCCCCTCCCAACAATGTACAAAACCTGACCAGACTAGCAATTGAATCTTCCTTTAACAGTGGTTTCCCCCGACAACAGATAACATAAAGCTAGCTTAGGGGCTCATAGCACAAGCCATTTGATGCATGCATATCTCCAATATCTTGCCACAGTTCCTGGCCCCCAGCATTTTCTGTCAAAAGTGGCCATCTTACTCTGCCCATTGTTAGAGTCACCCTCAAGAACCAGCACAGATATGGAAAGTCCTCCCTGTTCTTTAAATGCAAGAAGCCCCAGTGATGAACTATCTCAGCCTTGGTAAGAAAACAAGTACCTGTGTGAGGAAACTGTAACTGCTGTTCATTTATGTATCTATTAAATTACCTCAGAGTATAATTGAAAACAAATTTAAACTCATAAATCATCAGTTCAAGCCAAAACAATGACAAAGCAAAGGGAACTAAATTCCAGAACGGGGTAGATGAAATCTGACAGGAACTATATTCTTGCAGCATTTGCTCTAACAGAGATTTCCTAGTGGTTCAAGAGAGCATCAATCACATACTTAAACTAAAAGCAGGTAGTAAATGGTATAGCTCTGTATTGACAAGAGCCACCGTGCAGGTCTAGTCCGCGGCAGTGGCTATATCTAAACAAAAAGAGTGGTCTAGCTTCAGTTGGACTCATAGTAGGCTCAGGTTTCTAGGGCTAATAGAAAAACCCATAAGCCAAAGCTTAGAAAGAGGCTCATCCCATGTTTGAGAATTAGCTTCGCTTTAGTCTTTTGGGATTTTTTTTACATGCAAGAACAGACCCAGCACTTGAAAACTATTCCCCTTCCTAAATCAGACACACAATGTCAGTTTCTGGCAGCATAAGCACACCCAAAGAAGATGCAAGCAGATAATAAGCAATACAAAAAAGCAGTTTAAGCACTATATTATTACATCAAGGCCAACAATCAATATGTCAGAAGCAGGAAACCATCTAGAGAGTGTTAGATAACAGTGGAGTTATAGGATAAGGAGATTGTGGAAAAGCTCAATGAATTCTTTTCACCTGTCTTCAGTGCAGAAGATATAGGGTAGATACTGGGACTGAACAGATGCTTTCAGCAAGGGATTCTGAGGAACTAAGAATAGTACCACATAGTACTAAAAGAAGAAGTTCTCATTTTTATTGACATTTTGGAAGTGAATACATTGCCAGGCCCCAATGAAATCCATTGTAGAGGTCTTAAAGAATTCAAATTTGAAGTTGCTGACCTTCTACCAAAAACAGGTAACATGTCCCTAAAACCAGCCTCTGCACCAGAGAACTGCAGAATGGCCAATGTAATACCAATTTATAGATAAGTAACTGGGGTGAGTTAGGAAATTAACCATCCAGTTGGCCTAATGTGAGTTCTAGGTAAATTGACTGAATGATTATTAAGGTTAGAAAAGGTAAAAATGTAAGCTCTGGTAGATACTGTATACTGGTTTTGCAAAGGCTTTAACAAATTATCTCACCAAAGACTCCTGAGCAAAACTGAGCAAATATGGAAGAAGAGGAGAAGCCCTATTTTGGATCAGCAACTAGACAGAAAGCAGTAAGTAGGAATAAATGATAAATTCTCCCAAAAGACAGGGTAGCCAGTGGGGACCCATAGGCACCTGTTTTGGGACCAATGTTTTCAGGTCATTCATAAATGAGCTGGAATTAGGAGTAAGTAGTGAAATGGTTAAATTTGCTGATGGTACAAAATTATTTAGGCTGTCAAAAAGGGGCTATAAGGAGCTCACAGCTGAGGTTTTCTAAACTGGGAGAATGGGCAAATGCAGTTCAATGGAAGCAAGTATAAACTCATCCACAGTAGCGAAAAGAAATTCTGATTTCAAATATAAGCTGAAGAAATCAGTGATAGCATTGACTGACCAAGAAAGAGATCTGGGGGTTGTAATGGACAGGATGATGAAGATGTCTATTCTGTGTGATGCAACTGTGAAAATGATAAATTCCATGTTGGGCACAATTGATAAATGATTTAAAAAACCCTGCTGATATCACTCTCCCCTTATACAAATATATGATGTGACCATACTGTACCTAAAAAAGGATATTGTAGAGCTGGAAAAAGTACAGAAAAAACAGCAAATATCATCAAGGGGCTAAGGAAAATTCTACAAAGAAATGGTACAATAGCTGTTTGTTTAGCTGAAAAAAGGAAGAGTAAGGGGATTCATGACTGAAGTACACAAACTGTGCAAAGTGTGCAGAAATATTTTTCTCCCTCTCACATAATGGGTCACCCCATGAAGCTGACTGGTGGGAGATTCCAGATAGATTCCTCAATGGCTACTAGTCCTGATAGCTCGATGCAGCCTCCAGGATCAGAGGCAGTGTTCCTACGTACACCAGTTGCCCGAGAACACGGGCAGGAGGGTGTCGATGAACTCACGTAGTGCTTACAGGATTCCGTGGGAAGCTGGATGGCCACTGTATGAGCAGAATCCTTCATGAAGGTCCCTTGGCCTGCTCTAGCATGGATCTGAGGTTCATTGCAGTGGGTACCTCTCTCCATCAACCCCAACACAGGACTGGGGTGGGAGCTGCTATATCTGCAATCCCTGCCAGAAATGTGCATTATCCAAATGCAACCCCAAACAAGTTAATCTTTGCAAGTATATGAACTGCAAATAGTAGTTGGAAATTAAAATGGGTCAAGCCAAAATAAAGATTCTAAGATCCCCGTTCGTATACTGGCTACTGAAAGTTTATACCCACTGTATGTAATAGATCTCCAATTAGCAGGTCCCCAAAATGTTTCAAGGTTGGGAACCTTTGTAAACAGGAGCGGATCAGACCCTGATAACTGGTACTCCCATACTCGTTTAAGTTCACAGAATCCTATATTTTAAGCTGAAGTAAAAATATGGCACATGTGTAGTTGCTAACAAAAGCAGAAATTCTGGGATATATTCCCCCTATCCCCTCCACACACCAAAAGTCTGGCAACATAACGTACTGATGTGATCTCACTGGATGGGGAATTCTCCTGCTCCTATGTCATCTCATTCACAACATGAACATTCACAATACAAATGTGTAATGCATTTGTAATGTGTTTTATACTACCCGTTACAGGGAAATAGTGAAAAAGGAAACATGGGGGTGGCTGTTTTGGGCAGCAGTCATGTGATATGAAACGCCATCTTATTACACACTATAAATGAATGGCTCTTAAGTGTCAGCCACCAAACTTGACACAGAATCAGATGTTTGTTTAGGACTGAACTAGTACTACTTTCTGGAAAAAAAATTCAACACTGATATTGTAATTAGTTAATTATTCTTTAAGATTATCAAAATAACCTAAAACAAAAAGAAAAGAGAAAACTGGTATTCAACATGGTCATTCACCTGAACGTGTTGACCACTGGAGATTAAATTAAGACAGGAAGGTAAGCTTATCCTCATTAGTATAATTGTAGGATATCTTTTTTACCTTCCTTTTAAACTAATGAATTAAATTAATCCAGGTTCATTTTTATAAGCCTCTTGGGTCCAAATGTGGAGGACAGTCATTTTCGAAAACAATAAATTAAAAAAAGCATGTAGTATGCATTAAATGCACGTATTTCATAAGACCCCAGGTTAATACAAGTGGCATCCAGTGTAATTAATCCTTGTTAGTGTAACAACTAATATCCCTCCCTAGCATGTTTCCTTTAAACATTAGGATGTTAATTAAATGTTTTCTGGTTTTCTCTTCTTTTGGGGAGGGAGGAATAGGAGAAAGGCTTTTTTGTCTGCATTCTTCAATACAGCAGAATACCATGTAACACTTATTCTGAATAAATACCTTATAGAGATGTTTCCTTACAATATCTGGTCTCTTGCAGAAATTCTGAAGCCTTTTAAAAAGCTGTTCAGGTGTAGAATACAGATATTCAGCTGCAGGAAAAACAGATACATTTTTAATGAAACAAAAACCTCAAAGCACACACTCGATATTAGTCACTTTACTAATTAAAAATGCATATTGCTCTGTGCCGCCTCGTGTTTTACATTATTTAAGCATGATTTTATAAGGTTACCTCAGCTCACAAGGATGTTTAATGCTAAATAAGACTGTGTAGTTGTGCTGTTTAGACATCTCCTTTGGGTGATTAAAATACATTATTCTAATGTAACACAATGCATATGTGAGACATTTAGTGATGAGATTTTTCAAAGAACTGGTACTACATTAGTGTGTATCCTGTAGCAGGGTTGCATATTATTAAGTATTAAATTGTTTAAATAATTTGGTATGATTTTTCAGGCCTAAATTTTTCTCTCTGAATATCATTATAAAAAATCTGCAAGCTATCGCAACCGAAGCGACCTTTTTTAATAAAATCTATCATTATAGACTGTGTATACTAACAATAAAGAATGCTATTTCAAAACTTGCTTTTGTGTTATCTTGAAAGAACAGATGGTAAATATAAACTTCATCTAATGTATTAAAACACATTAAAAATTCCTTAGCGCTAACATGGTAGCTTGCCAAATAAACAATTGCTCTTGCTTAAGTTTATTCTCAAACTTTGTATTTTAGAATTAATTATAAGATAAAACCTCAGCAGAAAAAAAAACCACATAGGCAGGAAACTACCTGGAAATATTTCTGGATAGACCAAAGCTTTGGGGCAGAGCGGATAACAGCCACAGTATACTGCTTCTATCCTGAAAGAGGGGAAATGCAGATTATATACTATTATTACATTACTGAGCCCCAAAGCATATTTTGGGCCAACAGCACAGAAGCTGGCTACAGCAATTGTATTCCCTGTACATCAGTGTAGTCTCCCTAAATGCCAGTCGCTCCTTTTTAAAGACAATTTTATTGATCACACGAATTACATAGAACAGAACAGCAAGCATATGTTTGGTTCACTGAATAAATCAAGGCACAGCTCTCCATTTAAAAAACAAAACAAAAACATTCAGCACATTTTTATAATCAGCAGGCAGGCACATGATAAGGGGTGCATACTCTTTCTGGCGACTGAGAAGTGGGAACCCACAATGCTGTTTCCCCACCCACCCTTCAAAATGCTGCCAATGTACTGACGTAACAGGACAATCGCTGTAACTGAGCAAGCTCTTTGACACAACGGAGTTCCTTTAGGATCAGTGACACCTCGTCCACACGAAAGCAGCGCCTCGCTGTAGCCCAGTGAGAGAGGGATCCGTGCACACCACACATCTGAGGACTTGCGGTTTGTTTTAAGCTTCGAAGTGCTTGTCCTGGGCTCCCCAGGTATGTTTTAGCATGGAATACTGCAAGTGGTCTAGATGCTGTGTGTATCTGTGGTAAACAGGAAAATTCTAAAAAGCGCCAGAGCAAGTGCTGATTTGGCATGGGCATGCCCCTCTGAACCACGGCCATTATCTTTATGTAAAGAAATTCAGCAATTCTTTTCAAACACTGCATAAGCAAGACTGACAATGCATAATAGATTGAACACACTTGCCAATATGCATATATACTCTTAATTACCAATTATAACCTAACCTTTCCTTACTGATACATTATCCAAGTAGTCCAACGTCAGGTTTTTAAAAAGTGATTTGCAAAGCGGTATGCCTGGACCACACTTTATAACCATCTTCCCCCAACCCACCGTGAAAATCCGCCAGCGAATATAAGCAGCAAAGAATTTTGTTAGTATTTGCTTGTAGTGGTAAGACTGAGTTACAACAGGGATTATTCTAGCTTTTCTCTCCCCACTCTAGAATAACGGCCATGAATCTGACATATAATAAACTTTAAAGATAAAGCAAGAAATTTTTTTGGCTGGAAATTATACAGTGAAGTTGAAATCACTTTGTAAGATATGTTTATTTTACAAGATTTTTAGAATAGCATCCAACATACTGGAAGACTTTCTTTTCTTTTGTAACCTCAGGGTTGTCTACCCTTCAGGAAAACTGATGACAGTGTACCTTGTACTTCTGGTTTTGTTTCCAACGTTTTCTTTTCCCTCTCAAAAAGTATTTGTCATTGGCACTAATTTAGCTGTTCATATTTTCTTTTAAAATGGAACATGTATACCATAATTAAATTCTAAATACAAACAGCTTCCAAGATTCTGTGTTGTAGCCAACTGGTGTCATTCCACTGATGGAGTTCTCTTTGATGGGAACTTCTATCAACTGAACAAGGAGGGGTGGTATGTTTGGTGGTTCCCCTTTGCATCTGTGGCCCTGTCTTGCCTTCTCCAGAGGACTGGGAAAGCATTTGGAATGATGTGGGAGTTAGTGTGGAAGGCTGCAGAGGACAGAGGAAGGAGACCCCTCCAAATTGTTTCCTATTAGGTCCACTAATGGAAGCATCCACTGAGTTAAAGAGCAGGCCATTAGAAGCACAACTGGAAACAACCCTGTACCATCAGAGGCAATGAGCACAAACCAGCTGACTTGTGCTCAGGTTCTTGAGTACTTTGTGCCAACTGGAGGAGCAAATATACAATGCGGACATGGGAACGAAGCCCAGACTGCATGTTACTTCTCACTCCCACTCATATAACAGCTCCCAGTGCTGCCTGTGTGCATGCCCATGCATGCATATGGTGGAATGTGGAAAATAGGACTCCAGTGCACCAGCATGAATCCTATAAAATAGGCCTCCAACTGTGGTGTATTGGATAACGCCTTGTATTTCTATTAAAGGCAAAATTCAGCACTAAGCAGTGAAGTTGGGTAAACCTGTGGTCATTAATATTGTTCTGCCATATGTCAAAGAGCAGAGTATTTAAACATTACCTTTTGTTGCCAAGAAAAGGGACTGTAGAGATTTTAGTAATACCTCAAATCATGAAATAGTATAAAAACAAGTAATTTTCAATTAATGTCCTTTCCTGAAACAGAACAACAGGCCAAGCTACAGCTGGAGGAATTTTTAAATCAGTGTAGCATCTCCTTCCCAAGGACTCTGTCTGTCTCACAAATTAGTAAAACCAGGAACCAATATTGATGTAATTTGACAGATAAAATATAGGATTTGGAATTAATCCTTTTATGTGAAAATGACCTTACATGCTGATTCAAAAATAAATATCTGTCAGTATATTCCCCAAAGAGTTAGGAAAAGCAGATCATGAAGTATAAGGGGAAAATTAGCTTTCATTTTTTAAAGAAACTTACTAGTTCAATTGAACACATGATGATCTGTTCATGAACTCAAAATGTAGATCCTGATATGGTTAAAAGGGTGCTGTGGGGGATGTTGTGAATCCCCTATTCAGTGACATGGGTTGCACATGCTTGGATTGAGGCAAGTGCCAAGCAAACACTAATGTTTTGCATGCTTGGCAGTAACCTAGAAACAAACTAACTTTTCTCTGCACCTGTGTAGGTCACCCTTCCCCTAAACTGGTGCCTTCCAGATGCTTGGTACTTCAGCTTTCATGAGAATGCAGTCAGCATGGCCAACGGTCAGGAATGCTGAAAGTCACAGTCCAAAATATCTTGAGGACACTAAGGTGGGGAAGCTGAAATGGATGATAAAGTCAAACCATTGCAACCATGTTATTCCTCATTTTGATTCTTGGTGGAATGACAGAGTTCCTATGACTCCATTGTTAAAATGACCTTTATATTCCAATTAACAAATCATCTGTTAAATCTATGAATCTTAATATTCAGATCTATTCCGTTCAATTCATACAATTTATCTGCAAATAGTTGTTGGGCGTCTGATTCTAAATATAATTAGCTGATAATTTTGCTTGGCTGAATTACTTTTCTGGAGGGCCTGCTAAGTCTCTCAGTTGCATTATCTAGCAATAATGAATCTGATAGGTGAAATTTTTTACTGTAATGAGGATGAGACACAGTTGTGACACCTGAGTCTAGTAATAACAGAAGACTGCTAATTATCGACAGCACTTTTTTGTGTGATGCACAGAGGAAAAAAAACCCCTCATTATTAAAAAAATAAAAAGTTACAATTATAAGTGACACCAGAGGAGAGTAAATAAAATGGAGTGATTAAAACATTGCTGCTTTAAGGGTGTTTTTAATTAAGTGGAAATGCTAATGTTGTCATACTTAGCAGATGGGATTAAAATTAGTTATTGTAAGTAACTCATATTTTGTGTTATGGTTTCCACAGCATGTCTACAAGATCTAAGAAAGTGATACATTCCATAAGACATTTAAAAAAATGATATTCTCATATCTTTACAACCCATAATAATGAACATCATGAATAAACTCTTGGGGAAAAAAATCCTGCCAAGGATTTTACCGTAGTGACTTAACTAGCGTGGAATGTAACCATGATGCACCGGACTGATACAATTACATGGCTAGCATGGTCTCCCCCTCCCCTACCATCCCCTTCTGTTGATTGCTGCATTTTGCATTTCATTCACACTCAACAAAAATAAAAGTTCAGAGCTCGGGCAGGTGTCCAGCGTCAAATGAAGAGTGTGTGGTGGGGGGATGGAAAAGATGGCCACCCACCTAGAGGATGTTCAGAAACTGAGCACAGGATGCATCCTGCAACTACGGATTTTTTTTTTTAAAAAACTTAATTGCACACTTTCTCCTACTTTATTTGTGTAAAATTTTCCATCTGCTACATCTAAAGATGTCTAAACTGTTAGAATCAGACCTGCATTCAGCTGCCAGCTGTGCACATTAAGGATTGCAAAACACTAAGTAAATGAGGCAGCATAAAGCTGAGTAGTGCTGGTCCATCTGCCCAGTACTAGGAGGGACCCCCAATACCTGGTCCTTTTTAAAGCAACTCGCTGCCGCCGCTGCTGCTCAGATGGGAAAGGGAGAGGCTGAACAACATTCCTTAAG